CTTCTAACTAGTGTAACCTGTGCTTCCATGGTTAATGGTTTAAACCAGGGATCGGCAACCTTTTGCTCCCGAGGCAGACTTGGCACGCAGAGGGCTTTCTATGGCACACCACGTGATTCCATTGAGCAAAGAAACAAAGTTAAAATAAGAGGGAGACAGGGAGAATGTGTATCGCATTTCGTTACTTTTATCTTGGTTTGAATTTTCGTATATTTATAAATATTCATTCTATGATACACTGAATTAAAACGAAAATATTTCGTAGCCTGGATATGGTTTAAGGGTACAATGAGATGTAGACGAGTATAAAGCACACCCAAAAGCGCTTGGAAAGTCTTAGTCACGCAGCGCTGCTGTTTCAGTGACTAGCCACGGATACTGCGAAAGAGTAATGCTTGGTATCCGATGACTGCAGTCATCATGGACAAATAACTTTGGATTTATTCACAAGAATAGTCGTACTATGTGTACACGCTGCTATAAGACAGTCGTGTGCCACACACACTTGAAATGATATATATGTTTATATTAAATGATTATATGTATGTTATATTCAAAATATAGGTATATATATATATTTATATATTCATTGATATACATATATGCATATATATTTATAACATAAAAATACTGCATATTTTATATACATATGAATTCCTTGCGGGCTTATCGAAAAAGCATGGATTGTTTTTATGTAGCATAAATTGCTACACAAAAGTTATATACACATACACACATATATATACATATGCATATACATATATACACACACGTGCTGATATACATACATTTATATACACACGCATGCATATTTATGAATTACCTAGGTAAAGTGTACATGGTAGCCGGCAATTTTGCAGGTAATACTTGAAACAAAAAACAAAACAAAAAAAAAACAAAAAACAATACATATATATACACAATACATTTATTTATATACATACATTCATACATATGTGTGTGTGTTAGGATAATACAAGTGAACGTGTATGTGCATATATATTTATATATATGTATGTATATATATGCACATATGGATATATATATTTATATGGAAGTGTGCGTGTGACTGTGCGGTAATATATATATATATATATATACATATGTATATATAAGTATATATATCTGTATATAAATGATGATGTAGTATTGGAATATATATCACAACGCATAATTATTATTGAAGCATTTACCGCATGGTTGTATCATATGCATTCACCTCAATTACTTTGTTGGAATCTGGAAGTTTCAAGAAATTTCAAATCATGATGCTGCCATGCATTCCATAATCCTGCGTCTAAACGAAGGTGGACATTGGGCACACATCCAACTCGCGCCACATAAAAGCAGCAGCAGCCGCCTCCTGATAATCACAACAGAAACAACACTCCATGAGAGAACAGAACAAGCTACAGCTTTATCTACATTTTCACGAGACGTACTCTGCCTTATTAAGTGATAAAAGCTAGAGAAAATGGAAAACAAAAATACTAGCACTCTTAATGAACAGAAACCAGAATCCCCCAAAGAGGATTCACTTCTCCCCTTCGCTGAGAAGAGACTTTTCTTCCATGATTCCTTCTTCGAGGATATTCGGAAGCACTTTGAGACAGCCATCGACCAAATCTTGGATACGTGGGGAGAAGGCAAATCCGTGAGTGATCTGATGAGTAGCTACAGACGTGTAAGAGAGCGCAATTTGCAGCAAGAGAGCCAAGTCATGGCCTTCAGCGAAGACGACCAGAATCACAAGGTTAGTTTTACTATCTAAAAATCACGTTAAAAAACTGAAAAACTGATTTTTTTTTTTTTTCTCAGAAATGATCTAGGTCATAGAAACATTATTTAGATATAAAGAAAAATACACTCTTAATTGATTCTATATACAGGTTGTACTGGATGTTCATGACTTCAAGAGTGGAGACGTTAAGGTTAGAGTGGAAGACAATCAGGTGGCGGTGGAAGGTCGAGTGGAAAAGGAAGAGGACGACTTCAAGTCCATGAAAAGCTTCTATCGACGTTTCAGCTTCCCAGGCAAAGTGAACATGGAGGCCGTGACTTCCGCAATGTCTTCCGATGGCGTCTTGACTATCACGGCTCCGAAGATTCCACAGGCAGCATAGGAAATCATATTCCATTATCTGAAATTGTAATTTAATTTTAAATGTACGTTTAAGTAACAAAATATTTTTCTTTAGGATAATGTTAAAATGAGTAAAGCTTTTGCTATGTTTAAAATAAATTATACTTATTTACATGTGTGTATGACTTTACTTGCCTTCCTTTTTCGCGAACTTATCGAAATGATAAAAAGAAAGAAAGGAAGAAAAAAATGGACTGTCGCATAAATTACATAAAGTGAGGGTTCTTCGAAACTCATGAAGAAAAGGCGCAAGTGCCAAATGCAAAGAGTGTTCACTATTTGTGACTTGTGCTTCCATGATTCTTTTTCGAAAGACAAGTAAAAACTAATATTGGTCTAGCGAGCGCTTTATGTACAGCATTAAGACATAACCCTGATTAATCCTTTTAGGATTAGTTATTTTCGTTTAAAAGCATTACAGGTTAGATGCTGGGATCACATGAACAAATAAATCATTGGATAGGTTTGTCAATTACCCATGTAGGAAATACTTGACATGTATAAAGAAATATATGTATGTTATAATTACATTTATTATATACATATACACAAATGTATATACATATTGTCTTTTCGCAGTTATATATAATACATACACATATACATATACATATAAATAAATAAATGTATATATATATGTGTGGGTGCGCGCGTGTGTTTGTACTTATAAGTATCTGTACACATGTATATTATAGTGTGTGTGTGTGTTTGTGTATGTCTATACATAGGATGGCCATATAGATGATTCCACAGGCAGCATAAAACATTTCATTAGCTGAAATTATAATCTAATCTTAAAGACAATGAATGCTAAAATGACAGTTTATTGTTGTTTTAGAAAATAGGAAAAAAAATCGTTTGCCTTCCTTTTCCTTTTGTTATTGTTGCATGGCTTTCACTATAGATAGTCCCTTGAAACTTTCAGAAAAAGTACTAAATGCAAAGAGGGTTCACTTCTTCCTATTGCTGTGACCTGTGATTCTATTATTATTTTTCAATATTAATTAAAATGGAACAATCGTCTGCCAAGCGCTTTGTACAAAAGGAATGCATCCCTCTGAGTGACCCTTTAAGAAATAACAAATGATAACGTATTACAGTGCAGTTGTCAAGTTTATATGAGCAATTAATCAAATTACTGTTTTTTGTATATTTCCGAGGCAAAGTGTACATGGAAACTAATAATTTACACACATACATCCACACAAAGTATGTTTGTGCGTGTGCGTATTTGTATATAATACATATATACACACATGTATGTGTTTCCGTGTATATATAATATATATATATCTTTTTGTGTCTATATATAAATAATGCCCCTTTAGATGATGGAATATATCATTAAAAAAACGCATAGTTAGTAATAAAGCTTTTACCATATGGTTGTATCGTATGCATTCATTTTAAATTGAGAGCTAATTATGCGTCGTTATACATATTTCAATACATCATTTATATACAGAATATATGTACACATATATACATATGTGTATATATATATTTACGCACACTTCTGTATAAATATGTATATCCATATATGTATATATACATACATATATACAAATATATATGCAGATACGCGTACACTTATATTACCCTTACACACATATATATATATATATATATATATATATATATATATATATATATGTACGTATGTATATATATAAATCAATATATTTACTATTTGTGTATATATGAAATATGTTTTTATTTTCTGCTTCAAGTATTACCTACAAAATCAACAGCTACCATGTACACTTTGCCTGGGTAATTTACGAAATATTTATGCATGTGTGTGTATATATATGTATATGCTTATGTGCACATATATATTTGTGTATATATATATTTTTTTTTTTGTGTCGCAATCTATGTAACATATAAACAATCCATGCTTTTTCGATAAGTTCGCGAAGAATTCATATGTATATAAAATATGCAGTATATTTGTATTATGAATATATATTTATATGCATATATGTATATGTATCAACAAAAATATAGATATGTATATACATATATTTTCAATATAACATACATATAATCATAACATAACATACATATATATCATTTCAAGTGTGTCTTGTAGCAGCGTGCACACACAGTATTATTCTAATAAATAAATCCAAAATTATTCATTCATCATCGGATATCAAGCTTTCCTTTTTCGCAGTATCTGTGACGAAAATAACTAGAAAGGTGGCTAGTCGCTGAAACAGCAGAGCTGCTTGACTTAGGCTTCCCCAGCGCTTGGGTATGCTTCATACTCGTCTACATCTCATTGTACCCATAAACCATATCGCGGCTACGAAACATGTTCGTTTTAATTCAGTGTATCATAGAAAATAAATATTTATAAACATACGAAAATTCAAACCTTGATCAGAGTAACGAAATGCGATACACATTCTCCCTTTCTCCCTCTTATTTTTTTTTTTTTACTTTGTTTCTTTGCTCCTTCGAGTCACGTGGTGTGCCATAGAAAGCCCTCTGCGTGCCAAGTCTGGCTCGGAAGCCAAAGGTTGCCGATCCCTGATTTGAACCAGTAAACATGGAAGCACAGGTTACACTAGTTAGAAGTAAACCCTCTTTGTATTTGGAATGCATTTTCTGCATGAGTTTCGAAGAACTATCTGTTATGAAACTTATGCAACAGTTAGCAACCGATGTTTTTTTTCGATTATTTTCGCGAAGTAAGCAAAGTAATACACAAGTGTAAACAAATACGATTTATTAAAAAGAATACATAAATAAATGAACTTCATTTCTACAGTCTGCAAATCAACAATAAATAGTTAAACATTTATTATATTTTAACTTATATCGTAATTTTAGCTCATTAAATATTTTTCTATGCTGCCTGTGGAATCTTCGGAGCCGTGATAGTCAAGACGCCATCGGAAGACATTGCGGAAGCCACGGCCTCCATGTTCACTTTGCCTGGGAAGTTGAAACGTCGATAGAAGCTTTTCATGGACTCGTCCTCTTCCTTTTCCACTCGACCTTCCACCACCACCTGATTCTCTTCCACTCTAACCTTAACGTCTCCACTCTTGAAGTCATGAACATCCAGTACAACCTGTATATAGAATCAATTAAGAGTGTATTTTTCTTTATATCTAAATAATGTTTCCATGACCTAGATCATTTCAGTTTTTTAACGATTTCTTCTTTCTTTCATGTATATGAATATTTGCGATCCACGTGATTTTTAGATAGTAAAACTAACCTTGTGATTCTGGTCGTCTTCGCTGAAGGCCATGACTTGGTTCTCTTGCTGCAAATTGCGCTCTCTTACACGTCTGTAGCTACTCATCAGATCACTCACGGATTTGCCTTCTCCCCACGTATCCAAGATTTGGTCGATGGCTGTCTCAAAGTGCTTCCGAATATCCTCGAAGAAGGAATCATGGAAGAAAAGTCCCTTCTCAGCGATGGGGAGGAGTGAATCCTCTTTGGCGGATTCTGGTTTCTGTTCATTAAGAGTGCTAGTATTTTTGTTTTCCATTTTCTCTAGCTTTTATCACTTAATAAGGCAGAGTACGTCTCGTGAAAATGTAGATAAAGCTGTAGCTTGTTCTGTTCTCTCATGGAGTGTTGTTTCTGTTGTGATTATCAGGAGGCGGCTGCTGCTGCTTTTATGTGGCGCGAGTTGGATGTGTGCCCAATGTCCACCTTCGTTTAGACGCAGGATTATGGAATGCTTGGCAGCATCATGATTTGAAATTTCTTGAAACTTCCAGATTCCAACAAAGTAATTGAGGTGAATGCATATGATACAACCATGCGGTAAATGCTTCAATACTAATTATGCGTTGTGATAGATATTCCAATACTACATCATCATTTATATACAGATATATATACATATATATATACATATGTATATATATATATATATATTACCGCACAGTCACACGCACACTTCCATATAAATATATATATCCATATGTGCATATATATACATACATATAAATATATATACACATACACGTTCACTTGTATTATCCTAACACACACACATATGTATGTATGTATGTATATAAATAAATGTATTTACTATTTGTGTATATATATGTAATTTTTTTTGTTTTTTTTTGTTTTGTTTTTTGTTTCAAGTATTACCTGCAAAATTGCCGGCTACCATGTACACTTTACCTAGGTAATTCACAAATATGCATGCGTGTGTATATAAATGTATGTATATCAGCACGTGTGTGTATATATGTATATGCATATGTGTATATGTGTGTATGTATATATAACTTTTGTGTCGCAATTTATGCTACATAAAAACAATCCATGCTTTTTCGATAAGCCCGCAAGGAATTCATATGTATATAAAATATGCAGTATATTTATATTATAAATATATATGCATATATGTATATCAGTGAATATATAAATATATATATACCTATATTTTGAATATAACATACATATAATCATAACATATATATTATTTCATAGTACGACTATTCTTGTGAATAAATCCAAAGTTATTTGTCCATGATGACTGCAGTCATCGGATACCAAGCATTACTCTTTCGCAGTATCCGTGGCTAGTCACTGAAACAGCAGCACTGCGTGACTGAGACTTTCCAAGCGCTTTTGGGTATGCTTTATACTCGTCTACATCTCATTGTACCCTTAAACCATATCCCGGCTACGAAATATTTTCGTTTTAATTCAGTGTATCATAGAGAAAAATATTTATAAACATACGAAAATTCAAACCATGATAAAAGTAACGAAATGCGATATACATTCTCCCTGTCTCTCTCCCTCTTATTTTAACTTTGTTTCTTTGCTCCTTCGAATCACGTGGTGTGCAATAGGAAGCCCTCTGCGTGCCAAGTCTGCCTCGGGAGCAAAAGGTTGCCGATCCCTGGTTTAAACCATTAACCATGGAAGCACAGGTTACACTAGTTAGAAGTGAACCCTCTTTGCATTTGGAATGCATTTATTCTTCATGTGTTTCGAAAAACCATCTGTTATTAAATTTATGCAAAAGTAGGCAATCGATGGTATTTTTTCGATTATTTTCAAGAAAATAAGCAAAGTAATACACAAATGTAAACAAATACGGTTTATCAAAAAATAATACATAAATAAATGAACTTCATTTCTACAGTCTGCAAATCGACAATAAACAGATATACATTATATTTTAACTTATATCGTAATTTTAGCTCATTAAATATTTTTCTATGCTGCCTGTGGAATCTTCGGAGCCGTGATAGTCAAGACGCCATCGGAAGACATTGCAGAAGTCACGCCCTCCATAGCCACTTTGCCTGGGAAGTTGAAGCGTCGACAGAAGCTTTTCGTGGACTTGAAGTCGTCCTCTTCCTTTTCCACTCGACCTTCCACCACCACCTGATTGTCTTCCATTCTAACCTTAACGTCTCCACTCTTAAAGTCATGAACATCCAGCACAACCTGTATATAGAATCAATGAAGAGTATTTGTTTTCCCTTGTTTTTCTTTTTCATTTTCACTTTAATTAATATCTAAATAATCTGTTTCCGTGACCTAGATCATTTCTGAAAAAAAATATCCTTACCTTCAATATGAGTTTTTCTTTTTTGAACGATTGTTTCTTCTATTCATGAATATGATTATTAGCATTGGTGTTTTTGCGATCTACATTACTCTTAGATACTAAAACTAACCTTGTGATTCTGGTCGTCTTCGCTGAAAGCCATGACTTGGTTCTCTTGCTGCAAATTGCGCTCTTTTACACGTCTGTAGCTACCCATCAGATCATTCACGGACCTGGCTTCTCCCCACGTATCCAGGATTTGGTCGATGGCTGCCTCAAAGTGCTTCTGAATATCCTCGAAGAAAGAATCATAGAAGAAAAGTCCCTTCTCAACGATGGGGAGAAGTGAATCCTCTTTGGGAGATTCTCGTGTCTGTTCATTATGAGTGCTAGTATTTTTGTTCTCCATATTTCTCTTGGAAATGTAGATAAAGCTACAGGTTACTCTGTTCTCTCAAAGAGTGTCGTTTATACTGTGTCTAGCAAGAGGCGGCTACTGATGCTTTTATGTGGCGCGAGTTGGGTGTGCGCCCACTTTCCACCTCCATCTGGACGCGTCACGGAATACTTGGCAACAACTTCATTTGAAACTTCCTGAAACTTCTAACTCTCAATTTAAAATGAATGCATAGGATACAATCATACAGTATAATAATATAGATATATATTATATACAAATACGCACACACATACACAAACATACTTTGTGTGTGTATAAGGACAATGTATGTGTACATATACTGTATATATCTACATATGTTTAAAAGGACTATATATGTCCACACATGTGATTGTGTGTATATATATATAGGAATTATATATACATATCTATATATGCGAGTGAGTGTACATATATGTTTACATACAAAAACGTACACACACACATATATAGTAGCGTGTTTACACACACATATATGTATATATTATATACATGTGTGTATATATAATATGCATATATGTGTGTGTCTGTGACTGTGTGTATATAAATGCATATATATGTATGTATATACATATGTATATGTTATATATAGATGATATATATATAAATGTGTATGTGTGCTTATATATATACATATATATGTATGTGTATATATATGGATGTATGTCTATTTACATATATATCTACTTTGTATGTCTGCCTGTGCCCATATTATTTATATATCCAAAATTAATAGATTCCATGTATACTTTGCCTCGGAAATATACAAAAACAGTGATTTAATTAATTCATATAAATCTGACAACTAACCCTTTAACATGTTATCATTTATTATTTCTTAAACGGTCACTCAGAGAGATGTAAGTTTCCTCTTGCACAAAGCACTTGGTAGACGATTGTTCCATTTAATTAATATTGAAAAATAATCATGGAAACAGATCACAGCAATCGGAAGAAGTGAACTCTCTTTGCATTGGTATTTTTTCTGAAAGTTTCGAAGGACTATCTCTTATGAAAGAAATGCAACAATAACAATCGAAAAAGGCAAACGATCTTCTAAAATAAACAATCACATTAGCATTCATTGCCTTTAAGATTAGATTATAATTTCAGCTATACAAACATATACACTATAAATATACATGTCTGTAAGTACAAACATGCGCGCGCATATAAATATATTCATTTACTTATTTGTTTATCTATGTTTTATATATTATATATACATATGTATGTGTATATATGTATATATATATATATTATATATATATATATATATATATGTATGTGTATATATGTAAATATGTATATATTATATATACATATGTATGTGTATACATGTATATATGTGTCTACATAGATATAACTGTGAAAAGATTATATGTATATTTATTTGTGTATCTGAATATAATATATATAATAATGACATACATATATTTCCTTAAACCATATCCCGGATATGAAATATTTTCGTTTTAAGTCAGTGTATCACTGAAAAAAAATAAAAAACACACGAAAATTCAAACCATGATAAAAGTAACGAAAGGCGATACACATGGTTTAAACCATAAACCATCGATGCACAGGCTACACTACTTAGAGGTGAACCCTCATTGCATTTGGAATGCATTTATTCTTCATGTGTTTCGAAGAGCCATCTGTTATGCAATTTTTGCTACAGTAAGCAACCGATGGTATATTTTCGATTATTTTCGCGAAAATAAGTAAAGTAATACACAAATGCAAACAAATACGATTTATT